GCTGTTGAAAATTGAAATAGATATAGACCCAAAAATTTGCTCCTGTGTGTGTGTGTGTGTGTGTGTGTGTGTGTATGTATGTATGTGTGAGTGTTTGAGTGTGTCTGTGTGTGGTAGTAAGTGGAGAGTGAGGAGTGTGTGTGTGTGTTTGTTTGTTTTTCGGGCTTTATTTCAGCCTTTATTCAGTAACAGTTCAAAGTATACAAAAATAGAAACACAGGATCCATTCACTCCAGGACTCATGAGTCCTTCGTCTCTTTCAGTTTCACTCTTTCATTCAATTCCCGTGTTCTCTCCCGCGGCTCATCCCCGTCCGCATGACTTTCATACCCCACCCCATCCCTCCAGGCACACACAAAGAAAATCTCACTTGTTCCCTGCGAACCATGGACAATAATATAGGCAAAACACCGCCTGAGCTGCATTCCTTTTGTTCGTGAGCTGTGGACCAGGCCAGGGGTGGTCAGTGTCGTCGTCTTGTAGTTGCTGTCGCCTGTGGATACACTCGCACATTCTTCCGTTCACCCGCTCTTTCACTCACACTGTCTCTCCATCCACAGTTCAGCTCGTCATACGTTCAAAAGTTGCCCACTAGTTATGTTTAGTTAGTGTGTGTACATGTGCATGATGGTGGTGTGTGTGTGGTGGGTGTTACTGAAGGTTGTCTGTAGGCGGGCTTGCCATGCGGTACGTGTTCCTTCCCAGACCAGAGGCAGAATGAAAGTTGGCGCCGAACTCTCGCAATAAATAGATATATATATAGGCAAAAAATCACGAGACCGGAAGCCGAAAACCGTTCGGAGAAATAAAGATCGGCACTATTTCTCCGAACGTTCGGAGAAATAGTCACTTCGTTATATTTATTATACACATCCACGAAATACATAAAAAGACAAAATCCATACGGTCGAAAGCCTCACAGGATCATGCCTTACGATCAATAAAAGAGAGTATATAAAGAAAATTGAAGTTTACTAATTTTATTAAATTATATGGCACTGGCATGGGCAAGCCTTTGATTAATTTTTAAATCAGAAGAGTCGTGCAATTTGATACAAATACAACTCTTGGTCCAGAAAGGTATTTTATTCAAGCACAGTGAGAAATCTGTTATAATAGATCTCTAGATCTAGACTCTAGAATCTAGATAAAAACATTCAAGATTCTAGACCTCAGAAAACTGTCAGTGTAAAGAAGTAGACTTAAAAAGTTTGAGAATTGCTGTGACTATCTAGAGTAAGGTTTTATGTCTGCAATTAATAGAAACAGAAGGATATATACATACCTTACTCGGGCAAAGGAACTCTAGCAATCGAAAAATAGCTCTGAACTTGTTATACAGTTGACATGAGACGAGGACACATTCACAAGTCCAAAGTCCAAATAAAATCCTCTAAACAGCGCGAGCCAACAACAACATTACAGAGAGTGACTAGTGACGCAAATCTTTCGTCTGGCTGGGTTCCAAAAGAAAGGTTTTGACACAGCAATTTCAACACAGATTGGGGGCTCAGAATCATAGGAACAGCACCGACCAACCGCATGACACATAGTAACTCATTTATTACATATAGATTATATATGACATCAGTGAAATAAAAATGAAAAAGGCGGCTACTCACCTTTCTCTTGAAATGTTATGTGCGTCAACTGGATCAAGGGAAATGCATAAGTATTCAGGAAAGGCCCCTTTACTTCAAAACTACAAGAAAAAATGTGCCCTTTACTGAGGCTATAATTAATTTGAATGGGTAAAAAATTAAGTTCATACAAAGGATCTAGAATCTAGGTCTAAATGATTTCGACGATGCCAAATTCTCACTCGCCATGCTAAAACCAAAATATCGATCGGTCACCAACATAAACAAGGGGAAGTTTAATGTATTAATAGAGTGATTTCCCTTGGTAGCTGGCACAAGGTTTATATTTTAATTGCTCATTGTTACCCAATTTATTTTGCTCCAAAATGTCCAAAGATGGTTTTTGTCTTCGGGTGTCTTCGACAAAATAAAAGTAGGTTATTCGCCTCTCTCTCTCTCTCTCTCTCTCTCTCTCTCTCTCTCTCTCTCTTTCTCTCCTCTCTCTCTCTCTCTCTTTCTCTCTCTCTCTCTCTCTCTCTCTCTCTCTCTCTCTCTCTCTCTCTCTCTCTCTCTCTCTCTCTCTCTCTCTCTCCCACGAAAAGTGTAACCAATTTTTTCAACCGGGTTCAAAAACAAATAAAAATATTAATGACAATGGCAAAAGTCAAAAGTATTGGAATGAACAATTATTTAAAAGATGTGTGTGTGTGTGTGTGTGTGTGTGTGTGTGTGTGTGTGTGTGTGTGTGTGTGTGTGTGTGCGCGTGCGTGCGTGCGTGTGCGTGCGCGCCCGTGCGCGCGTGAGAGAAAGAGAGAGAGAGAAAAAGAGAGAGAGACAGAGAGAAAAAAAGAGAGAGAGATCAGATCTAGAGTAGGAGAGAGAGAGAGGGAGATAGAGAAGTAGAGAAGAATGAGTGAGTTTGAGATCATATTATGTGAGTATAATAGTATAAGGCATATCTGTGTCTCTAAACAAGTGTCATTATTCAAATGAATGAAAGCTTCTAGTTCTAGTACGGGCAGAGAATAGAGATATCCTCCATCCCCTCTCTCCAAACTTTGCAAACTCGCACAGAACTGCTGTCTATCACTATCAAGTGTTTTCATTCTTTTAGTTTTTTAAAAGTTTTAGTAGAGGTTTTACGACACTCGCAACGGCATAAGGTCATATGAGCGCCAAGGGGTAGATGTCAACAGAGAAGTCCATACAGGGAATCAGACTTCAACAGCACAAAGTCTGTTTGAAATATCAAGGCACCCCAGAAATAGTGGGTCACAAGAGTGTGACAAACATAGGAAGTAGAGGAAAATGACGACAGTAAGGATTAAGAAAGAAAAAGCAGCAGTTCCCTGTTGTAGACCAGGCACAGTTATGAGTGTGACACTGATGAATCAGCCCATTTACAATTCTACTGTGCATGAACGAGAAATCCCCCCCCCCCCCTTTGGGAATGGCCTAAAGACACTTCTGTCAGTGGCACCGCCCCGGGAGGTGGGGGGGGGGGGTTCATTCAAACGAGGTGTTGGTGCAATCAAGACCATGGCGGCCGCTCTGATTCCGCAAAGAGTGCTCTTCCTGATGTTGCAGCTGGTCGTCCTGTCTGTCATTGATTACGGATTGGCCTGTCTCACGCTGTCCGACACACAGATCGCAAAGCTGGATCGAGTGCAGAATGAGGCAATGAGAGCAGTGCTGGGCTGCACCAAGGACACTCCAATATTGTGCATGCGCTACTTGCTCGGTTTAAGTGGCATCAGAGTACGCCATAGGATAGCTCAGGCAAAGATGTATCTCGGTGTAATGGGCAAGAAGGATCATCCACTTCACAAAGCACTTCATGACAACAGGAGAGTCAGAATCAAGAGATGAAAAATCTTGGATGGCGGAAGCAGAGGATTCCCTGAGAACAATCTGTGTACCTGAGAGCCTACCACTAGGCGAAGAATGGGAACAGGTGGCCGGAGAATACAGGGACCTCACCAAGGTCTAAATAAGCATGGGCAGAGACAGAAGAAATGTTGCGGCTGCCATCAACGAGATTGTTGACACAAACTCAAAAGCAGGGGATCCTATAAAAAATTTATACAGATGATTCAGTAAAAAGAGATAGCCCGAGAAATGGATGGGGATTTGTTGCATTCGCCAACAATAAAATCATACACAGTGCATCTGGAGCCTGCAGCAGGGCTACATCAAGTATGCGAATGGAATATATTGAAGCCATCACAAAAGTACTTGATTGGATTACCCAAGATCGCCCCCCAACAACCCATGCTGTTCTTGTCACTGATTCCATGTGTACCCTCAGAAGGATCGAAAAAGATTTCCTGAGAACAGAATGGATTCAAGCTATCGAACCAACGCCTATACAATCACTCACATGGATTTTCTGTCCTGGCCATGCAGGTGTTAAGGGAAATGAAAAAGCCAGATTGGCTGGTGAGGCCACCTTAGTTGACAATACGGTTCAACCAGATAGGGTCGATATCCTGAAATGTCTCTCTCGCCAGCTGATTGAGGAGGAAGATAGGGAGGCAGAGGCCAGTGGAGAGGATGATGCTTTTGGGAATAAAAAAAGGAAGCGGAAAATCTGGCATCCTTGCAGGAAAGAACAGAAGAACGTTAAACCAGATGTGCACTGGCACAATCAGTAGAAGGACCCTCGGCAACATTTTGGAGAGAGCACAGAGCATCAATGGACATGTCCGGAGTGCAGGGATGTTGCTTCCTGAAACAAACAATAATCACACCTTCTTTTTGCCACACAGAATGTGGTTTTTCGGATGGGTTGTCAGTACGTTACAGTCTCAGTTTCAAGAGATACATTAGCATTCATTGACAGCCCAGTTGGCCCCGGACAGTGTAGAAAGATCCAGCTCACCTATAAAGTAAAGATAATTTATTTAGATACTAATGACAAATTATAATTATATACACTGTATACAGTTTACTCCATTTGTTTGAGTTGATCTGCTGCAATGTTGATCTTTTTCTCTGGTCCCAACACCTCTTCTTCTTTACACTTACACTTCCCAACGTGAACCTCAGATGAGTTGATCTTTCTTTCACTCTCCCAACTACATCAACTCATTTTTGTAGTCGACTGTACAGTATAATCAAAAAGTTTGTCTCTTTCCTTAGCTTTTATCCTTATCTCTTCATCAGCTCCGTGATTTACAAGGCCTTAACTCTCGCAACAACAACAATTTTTATTCAGCAGTCTACTTTTTTCTCCTTCTTTTGTTAGCTTTGTTTTATGTTTTCCTCTTCTCAGCACTTCTTTTCTAACATTTGTACAAATATATAATCTCTCTCTCTCTTTCTGTCTGTCTGTCTCTCTCTCTCTCTCTTTCCATCAGTCTGTCTCTCTTTCTTTCTCTCTCTCTGCATCACATAAAGAGAAAGTCTGCAACGCTTTAAAATGTTCATAACAATAATTTTATTCCCTCTTGACAGATTATAACACAAACATTAAACCAACTACTTGAGCCATATATGCGGAAAGACCAATTCAGATTTAATATGATGACAAGTGTCTCACACAAGGAGTGTTCTCATTTGATATAAAAGTTGAAACTGACATGTTAGCCATGTGTACCAATTCACCAACTTCAGTGTAAGGTTGAAGATTGTCTTTGACTTCAAGGTTTGAATACTTGAAAGTTTAGCAAATCATTTCCATACAATGCATAGGATGAGACCAAAATTAAGAATGAATAATCAATGACACAAGCCATCACAATGCAAAAATCCTCACTGAGGACTGCTTAAAAGTTACAAACACACAGGTTCATACTACTTCACCCAACGGTTGGAGTCTTTATTCAAATTTAATGAAGAACAGCTTCTAGTACTAGCAGAGATATCCTCCATCCCCTCTCTCAAAACTTTGCAAACTCATACAAATTTAATCAAAAATTTATCATGTACAAGAACAAGAAATTAAAGAAACTTCTGTGTCAGTTTTACCAGTCCTGTATTTACAGTAGACTTTGTTTAACTAACACAAAATTCCTGTTAACACAGGATTTCAAATCCCCAGATTTTTCCCCTCTTTCTTCTATGCCTTGGAACTTTAATGTGTAAGCTGCTAAACACAAAGAAATTCTCTAGTCCCGTGCAGTTCGTGTTATCAGGCTTTTACTTAAAATCCTCATTTGAAATGCACAACACAAGGTCATCACAAAAAAATCTGCTCATCAAAAGGAAAACACAAAATCATGCAGAAGAAGAGAGTTCAAAGTCAGTTCATTGAAAGGAATAACATCCTAACAAGATAGATTCATATATGATTTTCCCACAACAGATTACTTACATTCTAACAAAATAAAGTCTTTATACAATTTTACCACAATAAATAAAAAAAATAACATCATCACAAAACTTGCTCACATTCAAATTTTGCACCCATATCACAAAAGCCTCCTGCAGCATCTATTCAGTATGATACAGGCAGCTGCTGTTGATTAACGTGGTATTTACATGTATACAAATATAATATGTATGTTTGTAGTTATGTTCATCAATTCCATTCTCACTTTGCAGAGAGACTACCTAATTAAAAAGGGCAGATAGGCTCTCTTGCATAACAAATATAGTGCAGTACTGCACAGCATACTTTACAAAAACTTTGAAGCATACTTTAAATAACATGGCAAATGATTTTTATTCTATCCAATTTTCAAATAAAGTAATATGTATAAGAAATACACATCTTTACTCTCTCGCTCTTTCTCTCTCTCTCTCTCTTTCTCTCTCACACACACATTCACATACACACACACATAAAAAACCTCGATATTTCACAAATATATCTTACAAATGTGCCATGCACACAAACTTGTCTGCACATGCATGCATTTGCACATTATTAATTGCACAAAACAAATATAAACACAAGCAATTTTCAACATCTTAAAACCGTTCATTACTAACATTGATTTAATCATAGAACCATGGCAGCAAGTTGAGAAAAAGCACACCAGTTCAAATGCACACTTTTGTTGTAAAGTCTATATAATCTTCACATCCTTGGGCACAATCACTTCCTGTTCAGACATTTTTATAAATTGTTTACAGTTCATACAAGACAAAGCAATATACTGGTAAAAGTCTAAGCCTATTTATGCAATAATATTTCAAGAGCTAGTCTGAAGAGCGACATATTTGGCTGTACTGTTCTGTGCACAACACTGTATCTCCATCACAGTTCACGGACCAGTTATAAGACTTTATTAGGGTGCCCTCTGTTGAGGTTCCATGACCTGAACATATGTGACTGATAGTTCTCGGAATCAATTTTTAAATCTCATAAAAGTTTGTTCTCAGGTGACACTAACCTCTTAAGTAAACAATTACCTTGGCTCTAGTTACATTACTTGAATTTTAGTACATATTAATATTATCTTTATAAAAAACCTAGTTTGAAAAAGGCACAAACGCTTGATCCCCCCAAAAAGTGCATCAGAAGCAGTGTTCTCACAACATTCTCTCTCATTTCCCATCCACATTAGACTAATATACTACATTGATTAACCACTGTCATAACATCCTTTCTCATTTCCTGTCCACATTAGACTTGTATACCACGTAGGTTGCCCACTGTGTGGGACACCCTCTGCGGTAACAGTTCGGCTGTGTCTGCAAACTCCTCTGGCTTGACCTGCAGGAGGGTCTGGATGTGCGTCATGGTCTCAGAGGCCTTCAGACCCAAATCTTCCAACACATTACACAAATAATCTGTAGAACAGATTAAAAGAAAATATCTTAACTTTTCTGATTTAGTTAAGCCGTTTCCGCTTGATATTTCAAGAGCACTTCATACAGCAGTGTCAGAGCATGCTATTATAAGTAACTAATAAATCCCAAGACCTGAATGCAACTCCTTGCAAAGTATTAGGTCCTTGAAATACAAGAGAGTAAATTTCCAGAGTCATACAGTGAAAAGGGTGGAAATGATAGTAACTTTAAAAAAATATACACTACACTTGGAAAAAATGAAATGAACATACATCTCTAATCCAGGGTCCCCACCAAATCCTGGAAAAATTTTTCAAGACTCCCAAATTTTTTTCAAGACCCCAATTCGAGGGAAAAATCAGGCCGCTGCGCGTCACGAATGATCCTCAGAAAATCCAAGCTATCAATGATAAAAAGTCAAAATGTCTATAAATGAATGTAAATGTACATTTTGTAGTATAGTCTTCAAAAAATAGATGACAATAATACTGGGTGACTGCCAACCCAGCTTCTCAATTTTCCAAGGGAGGGGCCTCATCCATTTTCCAGGAACATGTTACACAACAATGAAAGCGTGTGCTCCATTTATATCTAATATAATACATGTATGTCTGTGAATACACACACACACACACACATGTAGGTACATTATATCCAGTCAACAACATGTCAGTGTGGCACTGGGATCTTGAGAGACTTTGGTATTTCAGTCTTTTCTTACTTATTTATATTTTCCCTTCATAATATTAGCCAACATAACAAACTATAGGCCCTATGTAAAAAATGAATCCTGTTTTGAGCCTGAGAAAAGACCTGGAACCAGAATATTGACTGTCAATAACCAGTCTGGGTGTCGTGATTCATATAATAAATGTGAAGACAAAAACCATTGCTGCAACTCAAAGAAGATTAATATTAGTAATAACTAGAATGGCTCAAGTACACCTATTCAGTGTGAGAGGTGTAAGAATTGAGGGAGGGCAAGATGCAGTGACACTGAAAATCTGCCAATCTTGAACAGAAGGCTAAAATATAGATATAAATTACAATCACCCCATCCAATGAAACGCGAACACTTTAGATCAATAACAAGTCATGACGGATCCCGATTCCACACAAGGCCTGCACCAACGTGCGCTTTGCAGAGAGCTCTAAAGTAGTTATCAAAATGCTAAAAATTTGCTTCCAAGTTCAGTTTTTGTCCGCTAGCGTTGCCTTCAGCCCCCCCCCCCCCCCCCCCATCCCCTTCCACGAGTGTATCTTTTAAAAGAATCCTATACTTTACAGCGCTCAGACCGCCGGTACTCACAGGTTCATTGACCGCTCACGAGGGCGAACCTGTCAAGACGCTTGTATAAGTTCTTTTTCTTTTTTTTTCCCCAGAAAGCGACAGCAGAGGGCAATTTTTAATATTGATTTATTTTCAAGGCGACACAGCGTTCATAATGCATAACCTGCATGTTACAAATGTTGCGTTATCTATCAGTAGTATCAGACTATTTCCGGAAAATTTATTGGCGGTAACGAAAGCGAAGGTAGATCTTGATTCTTCCCGATCGAGCCTCGGTGTCACACATACACTTCCGTCACAGCGGTTCAATTACGTTTCCTCTTCAGGATTCATCAACCATACAGTCTAGATAGCTACACATTACACAGGCCCTATCCTTTCCCGACTTACCGACCCATCACAAAATTCCTGACTTTTTCCCGACCTCCCAACCCATCTCAAAATTCCCAAGTTTTTCCTGATTTCCCGACCTGGTGGGGACCCTGCTAATCCTTCAGCCACAGTCGACAAATGCTCATGACAATGCTATACACACCTCTTTTATTTGTACTAAATGACAGTACTTAGACTCACCAATGTCTGTAATAAGTTGCTTGCAACCATGTGGTGTTGCGTAAGGAATTTTCAGGATTTCCTCTGTGTAGGTATGCATGGTTCCCATGGCAACGGACTCCAGCCAGATGTCTGCCAAGTGCTCCGGAAGTTCTGAAAGCAAAAACAGTTTCAGATCATATTGCTGAATCAGAACAAGTGTTTAGACCATGACTACCTCTTTTTTAAGTTTTAGTAAGAGTTTTACGACACTTGCAACATAATAAGGCCATAAAAGTGCCGAAGATTAGAGGTATTACAAGAGAGTAACAAACAAAAAAGAAGGAAGAGAGACAAAGAAGATATATTTTTTATAGGAAAGAAGGAGCAAACCACATCAGAGCACCCGCCAACTACACACAGACTACCTCTGACGTGGGTAACTCTGTAACCTTGGACTGGATCTATACAGACTTGGATTAGTGAATCAAAAATAATAAGTTTACCTTCAGTAAGAATATGTGTACTTTTCTAAGGCTAACTTCGTAAAAAAAAACCTGTGCTTCTTCCAAATTCTTTGTTTTGAGAAAAATGGATTTTTGCTGCATAGTGTAAACTGTAGATGTAATTGTAGTAAAATCACATTGCAGATTGGTTTGATATTTACAGAGAAGATGAAATGTAATCTGGAAACCTAAATTTTCATATTTTTGGCTTTTGAATGATAGTGGATATATACACTTTTGGCTCTAAGCCAACAATTGCCAGAGAAAATAGCAAACACGACTTTTAAAATTCCAGACAATTATTAGGGCATAAAACCAGAAGTTACATGTCAAAATGCATATTATCATGTGGAATGAAAAATGTGACATTTCAAAGAAGGTAAAAACAGTTCAAAAGTCATTTCAGTATTCACTGCAGTGAGCATGACGTAAAACCTTCAAAGTGAGTATACCAACCTTGGTGATTAGTGTATGGCAGTCGCCCATGCTTCAACGCGGTGATGAGAGCTGGACTCTCCTGTAAGGTGAAAGGGTCCAGGTGCTGGGGCAGTGTCATCAGGTACTGACCCACCTGTAGGTGTGTGGGGAAAAAAAAAAAGAACCTATCAATTTCAAAGCAAAAAGATCATAAATCCAAATATAGTGTACTGTTCAATTAGGGATTTGATTGGGTGTTAAACAAGGGAACCAACATTTTCAATTTCTTACTGGAAGCGTGAGGAAATGATTGTTTGTGTTATAGAAGGGTATGCCTGGGGGCGAGGTAGTGAGAGTGTGTGTGTGTGTGTGGGCGTGTGTGTGTGTGTGTGTGTGTGTGTGTGTGTGTGTGTGTGAGTGTGTGTGTGAGTGTGTATGTGCCTGTGTGTGTCTGTGCCCTTGTGTGTTTTGAGTCTTGAGGACTTTTTCCACCCTGCCAACCAACACTATTTTCAGCTGGAGACAGGAAACAATAGCAAGCAACTTTCATTGAATATTACACAAGATAAACATTAAATTATCAATGTCTGTTTCAAATTGTTCGTCAGCCAAATTAGGTCAAACATTCTTTTTATTGAAGGTGGGGGGAGGGGGTGTTTCTTTCTTATTATCTTTAAGAAAGGCTCAAACTTTGAGACCAGTGTTCTTTTTATTTATTATAGTATCATCACTTGATATTGTGGTTGTGAATAACACGATTTTTAGATACAAGAAGTGTCTGACCTAATTCTTGGGATACATAGTTTGAGTCACGACATTGAGAGAAAGGTCCTCACAAAGACATTTCTCTTGCGTCGAGTAAAACTCTGCTTTATGCCATTTTGAAAAGTGACGTTAGACGGAGTCTTACACTGAGCAATCAATTTGAGTGAGGTGTGCAGACAAAATGAGTTACTTCTCGTAAACCAAGAAAGGAGATATTGGCCGAAAATGGACACGAGGTCAGATTTACAGTTTTCACTTGATGCCATTTTCTTCAGGTCTACTATGTCTGTTATTCTTCCATATTTACAAATTGCACCAACTCCTCCGATGAAAGTTGATGTATCAATTTCCACAAGGCTAAAATCCGAGAAGTAACTCATTTTGTCTGCACACCTCACATTTATACTTACTTTAGTAATGTACTCTTGTGGAGAGAGGCTGAATGTTGGCAGATCAGATGTCATGGCACCCCCAGCGCTCTGAGAGGTCCAGATCTGAGAGAGAACAGCATATCATCAGCTTTACTTAGATAATATATTTATTTTCATCAGAAGAAATTGTGATCCCTTTTATATTCTTTATGTCATGTGTTCACTCTGTGCATCATGTCCATGAATGGACCATATGGGTGTGCTTGAGGGTGCTAAATAAGCATTGGTATGTGTGTGTATGTCATGTGTGTGTGTATGTGTGTTGTGTAGGAGTATGAGTGTCGTGTGGTGTGTGTGTCTGTATGTGGGAGTGTGAGCATGAGTTGTGTGTGAGTGTGTGTGAGCATGAGTTGTGTGTGTGAGTGTGTGTGTGCGTGTATGTGTGTGTGTGTGTGTGTGTGTGTGTGTGTGTGTGTGTGTGTGTGTGTGTGTGTGAGAGTGCATTGGTGTATTTGTGAGTTTGTGCATTTATATATTTGTAATTGTGTGTATTGATGCAGAGCTACAAAGTTATAACTGATGCCACAGAGTTGATGCAAGCTCACTGTCGATTAGTTTCCAAAAGAGAATCAGTCAAACAGATTTATATCATACTTCATCTTCCAGCAAAAGGACAATGCATGAAAGTAATCAATATCAGGGACATACTAGAGAGCCAGTATAATCTTTTTTTCTCTTCCATTAAATTTTTTTTTAAAATGTGAATATTTGAAAACACAAGGAGGAACTTCTATTTTTCTCAAAGTCATCGTACCTTTCCGGGCGATTACATCTTGCACTACTTTTTTTGCATACCAAGTACTTTCTAGCAAAGAATAAATTCTTGGGATCCTATCCCCCTCCCCCCAATTAAAATGCATATAAAAATCCTGGACATAGTAGTTTTTAGTGAAGCATCACACATAAAATGGTTTCAAAGAATCACACAAGAAGATGCGTTTACGATTTCAGGCTGGTAAGGAAGCCTATGGACCTCCCCCCCACCCCAATTTATCTCTGTCCTGTTGGAGCCAAGCATTAAATCCATAGTTCCTGCCTCCCAATAAAACTTTAATTATTTACAGAGGAATTAAATTGATACCATACACCATATACAACTCACCTCCATGATGGACACACCATTGAGGTAGGTCTTGAGCTGACTGAACACAATCTCAAAAGCAAACTTGTGCACCTCTCCACTCAGCTTGCTAAGGTCAGTTGTGATCTCGGCAAACACTGGAGGGCTCTCACCTAGTCACACACACAAGAGAGAGATAAATATTGCTAGTTAGCACGATATTTGTAGCATTCCATTGGGAACAGAGTAGAATAATTGCTGTTCAGCAAAAAGAAGCATAAGGGGCAGACCATATAAGACATGAAAAAATGTGTACATGTGTACACATAAAGACTTCCATGCATGGAAAGCATTAGGGAGGTGTAAAAATGCCTTAAACTAGAAAGAAGGTGCTAAATGAGGGCATCACATGTGTGGTTCTCGGGGCTCTGTCCAAGAGACAGGGGAGCAAAGAATAGGACCACTGTATCCGTACCGCGCATGTCGTAGAAGGCGACTAAGGTCGGTTGGGCAAAGGATTAGCAGCCCTTTCCCGTAAAACAAAAAGCAGCTACAAAAACATCAACAGCAAAAACAACACGACCACCAGTTCTGGAAGATGGAGGACCTTCATCACCGAGGAAACAGATAGAAAAGGATGCTCAGGACAGGCTTCGCTGGAGTTATGTTGTTGATGGCCTGTGCTCCACTGGGAGTTAAAAAGGGCAAGAGAGAAATGAGGCAATAAAAGAACAAACTTTCAAAAGAACAGCCTTAGCTAAGGACTCAATCCCTTTCATACTTTCACCTACAATAACAAACTATTTTCTCCATTTCCTTCTGACTAGGAATTCACTTATGAATCTAAACAGAATCCTGGTATTCATTATGAGACAGAAACTGCCTTGCCTTCCGCACTCCACCAACAGCAGCCACAAATTATCACGCTTCTTGTACTAACATTGCAATAAAACACTTTGATATTTGTCATCTGCTTGCCTGAGTTGTTTTGATAACAAGCTTAGTTTCTATGCCCTGTTCCCATCTTTTGTTGGGTCTCCCCCTTCCCCTCTTGTCTTCTACCTTTGCTTCCAGACTATGTTTCTCAGGTGAATCATGGCATTTAATATGCACAAAGAAGTTCAGTCTCAGTTTCATCAAGTTCTGGAGGAGTGTTGGCGTTTCTCTACCTATTCCTCTTACCTTCTTTTTTGTTTATTTTCTAATTCAACTTATTCTAAGAATTCTATAACATTTCACTTAAAAACCTGTAATCCTTTTTGTATCTTATTCATTGATGGTCCATGCGGCCCTTCACTTTCTATGTGCAGTTAAATAGATGTTACCACGGAAATTAAAGAAGACGTTCCCCTTTATTTCTCTCCTACTCTTTGAATATAAGAAAGGCTACCCCTAACATTTTAATAGATGCTGCTTCCACCACTGTTGAGGAAATCTTTTTTTTTTTTTTTTTTTTAGTTTAAATGTTAGAGCGACCCATCTTACAGAACAATCTCTAACAACAGCTAACACCACATCATTACCTTCCTCCAGCTTGTGAACCATACTTTCCAAAGCTTCAATTTCTGACTGGGAAGTCAAAAACAGTGAAGCTTGAAACTGGTAGTTGTGACATCCAGATGAAATGCTGTGAATAATTTTATGAGGACAATAATTACGCATTTCAGAAGCATGAATCATACAGAAGAATTAAGGCGCTATAAAGAGACAAATGTATGCTTAAAAAAAGACCCCAAAATCAGAAACAAAATTTTACTTTCATCTTACAAGTCAAATACTCAGAAATACAGACAAACTAAAGCCTGAGCACCAGGTATGTGTTTATCCTGCTGCAGTGGAATGACATTCACCTATTAAAAATTGCAGCCATCCGCACTTCCTTGTCTTTTTTGGATATGAAAGCACTATTTCTTCCAACTCTTTTTCACAGCTTGACAACTATTCTCCGCTCCTTTTGTCAAATTGCCTCCTTCAGTTATAATGCATCAGTACTTGTCATACAATGTCTGCATCATCATCTCTTATCCACTTGCACTTGTGTTTTATTTTCATCCACAGAAAACCCTTTCCTCACATTCTAAAATCCTTTTTCATCACGACCTTTCTGTTTTTATTCCACTGTATTCCCTTGCTCAGCATCAAGGAAGGCAACAGGAGTTGCCCCTGTCTACAACTTACCAGGTCATGTTCATGACTCCTTTTTCAGTCAGAGTTTAAGGTTTTGTATTTCAGGTAGCTATAAATATCACTTTGGACAGACGCAATAATTCACTTTGATTAACTTACTCAATCCCGTGACCGAGATATCTCGGTCAGCTCGCGGGCTGCGTTCAATTCCATGACCGAGATAATTCGATTCTATAACCGTGGAAGGCTGCATCATACAACGTGACTTTTAGCACCGATCTTGTCGTCGACTGCAAGCGTGCTAATGAACCAGCTGTCAGGAAAGCAGCAGCAGAGGCTACATTTCGATCGCTCCCCCTGCCCGATGTAGAAGTCTGGACTGACGGTTCAGCTAAGCAGGGTACTGAGTATGGAGGAAGTGGACTACTGATCAAGACCGGTGATACCAAACCTGACCAACGTGTACCTGCGGGCCGGTATTGTTCCAGCTACAGGGCCGAAATTGTAGCTCTTGACACAGCGCTTGACACGCTTGTGGCACTACATACAGCAGGCAGCCTTCCGAACAGTGTACGCATCCATGTATACACTGATTCTAGGTCAGCAGTCATGCGCCTCTCATACGGCCCTATCAACCAATCGGAAAAGGTGGCCTGCTCAATCTGGCAACATCTGCACACCCTCTGTCAACGCTCTGAATGTTCCATCCACTTACAGTGGATTCCAGGCCACGCTGGACTGGCTGGGAACGAGGAAGTTGACAGCATCGCCAAAGAAGCAACAGCGCTTACCCAGATTGACACGCCAATAGATTTCTCGACAGCTAAAGCCGTCATCCACCGACCGCCGGCTTCTCTCCCAAATGAGAACTGGTGGAAAATCGCCCAAGCTGAGATCATATCTCCACAAAATTGTGCCAGCGGACAACCCAGATCCGTCCTGTCGAGCCTGCAAGGAGGAGGACGAAACTATGGACCATGTGTTTCTGAGATGTCCCGCCAGCTATTGTGCTAGAACCCGTCTGCTGGGACATTTCAGTAACCCACTATCAGTACTTTTTAAGGACCCCCGGGCGAGTGTTGAGTTCCTGCATGCTGTCGGCATCGCTGACCGTTTATGAAGCCACAGCGCCAGAAGAGAGAGAGAACTCGATTCTATAGTTTTGTTCCGTATCCTAGTTTTTCCGTTTCGAAAACGGCCTCAAGTTATATATAAGGTAAATTTATTATTTCCCTCGCCAATTCTGCCTAGAGGGGTGCTGGAATTCTGTTTCTACTGTCATTACACACGGAGAAATCGCAGTTTATATGTAGGCACTTTCAGCACGTTTGTTCACACTGCTCAGCTGAGCATGTCTCGCAATCGATTCTCTCTGCCTTTCTCACACATAGCCTACATTTTTTTGTTCAGGAAAGTATTCTTTACTATACATGATCTACAATATAGATCTAGACACTCACAAGCATATAATTTGAATATCAATGTAGGCTTACTCTTGCCCACTCGGCCATGAAAAAAAATAACAAGCCTCCAAAAATGCCAAATTTGTACAGCACCCCAAAGCAAAACTACTAAAGCTACATACTTGAAATTTGGTATGTCTAAAGGCCCATCTTAGGTAGGACTTTGTGCCAAATTTCAAAGCAATTGGAAGTTATTTATGGTTACTAGTGGGCCCTTACATAAGTGCTAAAATGACCGGTTTCTGGGTACAATTTCGGGAACTCCCGGGATTGAGTGAGTTAAGGTATTTTCACCTTAGAGGTTGTTAGCAGTCTTCAGCTCTAGTAGAGCAGCCCAGCAAGGCAGGCCTGCACCTCTCTAGTTTACAGCAGTGTGTGTGTGTGTTAACCTTTCAATTGCTAATACCCACTTTCGTCCCCCGTAAGAAGCTAAAATTTTCGCACTCCCCATAACATCGCCCAGGTTGGCAAGCACTAGTTTATAGAGACATAACTTACTGGCTGCCCCCATCCTTGGTCGGGGAGTGGCAAGTGACCAGAGGGCCCAGACAGTGCAAGATGCTGCTCGCCACCACGGTGTCCAAATCCTCGATCTGCATCAGCAAATTGCCTGAACAAAATAGAGACAGTCAGAAATGTTCTAAACTTCACTCTTTATACTAGCTGACTTGTAGTTTATGGCCAGTCTGTACAATAACAGTTGTACGTTGCAAGCATCAGTTTGGGACAATGGCAGAGTAAAGAAGAAGCCGTATATGGCCTTTACTCAACGTAGGAAACTAAAAGAGACAAATAAACTGTTTTACTTCTAGTAAAGGTTTTACGGCACTCGCAACAGCATAAGGTCATATGAGCGCCAGAAGATTAGAGGTGTTAAAAGAGAGTAACAAACATAAAAAAGAAAAAGGGGAGACACGGACGATAAATGTTTGATAGGAAAAAAGAAGCAAACCACACCAAAGCACCCGCCAACCACCCACAAATAAACTGAGAGATGCACTAGGAATTATGAAAACAGATTTGTACAAGCACAAACACTATCAAAGAAAATTGACACTATTAACAAAGAAAAATGTATCAAACTTTCAAAAATGACACATGAGATATGGTGCTTCGTTTGACATTTAAAACAGTGTCCTCATTCGTCCAAGTGTGGTAAGTCGATCATGCTGTTAAATACAACTTTGATGAATATGATCTCACTTTTCTTTCTTCATTTCTGTTCATCTAGGTTTTTTTTCTTGATCACTAGCCAAGCTCCTCCCTTATACCATTCAAGACTGAATATGAATGTAAGTCAATATTAGTCAAACAGCTCAAATATTAAATGTATAGAAGACTAAAACTGTTCTGAACTTTTCACCTCCATTGAATCATGCAAAAGAACGAATATCTTTACGATATTGATATCAAACAGGATACTCAAAGTAAGTGACAAACAGTTTTATTTCCAATAACTCAATTACAACACAAGAAGGCACGATAAAAACCAAAGAAATGTAACATGTTTGTAACAAGATGCTCTTTCATCAGCATTTACAAGCTTTTGCATTCACAACATTATATGAATACATGCTGTCAAGTTTAAACTTACCACAAGTCTGGATAATTCTGAGTGAATTTTGGAAATCTGACCAGTCTTCTGAATCAGACCTGCTCGCTGTCCGACACTTTTCTCTGATGTTGACCAACACTCTTCGAAACTCTCTTGAGTATGCCACAAAGTATGTCTGGTGATGCACAAATAAAATTCAATAAATATAGAGTAACCCCATTTAGAGGGAAGGGGAAGGGAGGAATGCTTTTTTGATTGTGTTATTGTTTTGGTCACCATGGAAATCCGGTAAGTTGAAATGTCCTGCAAGGGTCTAACAGAACTCTGTGCACATAAATGTTATGATACTAAATGTAATAACCCATCTCTTGTTTGATTGTGGTAGATAAACCTTAACAAAAACATTGTTAACACTCACCTTGTATGCACTCAACAAGCCCAGGTAACAAAGGCCATTGGTCAACTTTTGACATCTTTCATTTGCCTGAGGAGATAAAAATTTTACTTGAACAGACACGAGTAGCTCATTTATCCATTTACTGAATGGGTTCAAAAAGGCCTAAAAACATAACTTTGATGGAACACACCAAATAAGCTCAAAGATATAATGTCTTAGGACAAAAACCTTGTCGGGGTAAAAAAAAAATAGCTATTGTGTTAATATACTCACAGACAAAATCATCACAAGTGCAAATACTGAGACATTCATGACACAATAGGGCATCATTTTTTAACTTTATCAGCATTTTTATTTTCTTGACTCTTTCATTTATCTTAAAATAACCGACTACATAAGCATATTAAATGCAGCCAATGCACGATAAAAATTTAATACATTATCATAACTTTTAAATAACTAAACATTGCAAGAAACAAAAAGTACAAAAACCAAATTAGAATGTAGCTCTTTCAGGGTGCCACTACACAGAAACAAAGTAAGAGAGAGCTCATAGAGTACAATTTCCTCCTATGTACTTCCTGATTTCCTCTCCGTTTATTGTTGTTGTTTTTTTAAATACAAGTGTTTTTATGCCTACATCACAACAAAAAGGATAATTGAAGAGGTGGGCTTCGACCCCACTTATCATGTCCAACCCAAACCGAGAGGGAGACAACATCCTAGCAGAAACACCAAGACAGGTACTTGATAAAAATTCTCCCCTGACAAGAATCGAACTCGGATTTTCAGTGTGCAACAACAAAACGCCTGTCAGGGAACAGCAGTGGCCCGTGACCTCCTCTCTGAACACTTACCTCTTGAGCACCAGTAAACAACTTGGCTACAGATTCCGACAGCAGCTGCACCGTGTCAATGACTTCCATGTGATCCTGAGGAGAGCAGAACGTTTAGATAAATCCAAGACTAAATAAATAGGTAGCAATAACATCATAGACTAAATAAGTTATAGTGGCATCATGTGTTTCTTTTAGTTCTTCTTCAGCAAACAACCTGCCATTTCTTATACAAACAGAATGCTGCCAGCAGTCTTCTCTTTTTCTTTTCTTTTTTTTGGGGGGGAGGGGGGGTCAACTGAAAATGACTGGAAGTTTGAAAAAACAAGCACAGGCTTCCAATAAGTATGGAATTAGAACAATGAACTAAGCTGATTTTTCACAGAGTAATAAAAGATAGGAAAAACATTGTAAAAAAACAACACAAAAAGGCATTAACTAGTACATTATTTTTCCACAGGACCATAAAATAACTGAATAAGACCAGTGTGGAGAGACATTACCAGAAGCCACTTACCAGCTTTATGGTGTCTAGGTGCTTAGTGAGCGCAACTTCCTCAAAGACCCTGTATTTGCCAGTGTATGTCATGTAAGGGCTGTAGATAGCTTTCAACACATTTTGAAGACTTTTGGAATGTTCAAATCCCACATCTGATGAGCAAAAACGAAAATTAGAGATTATTTGACATCTATATCTAAATATCATATCTCTGTCAGCATCTTAGAGCCTGTAGTTAAAAACTTTTAATAATTAATTTTTCCTTCATGATGTGACAGAACAAGTAAATATTTTAAATCTGAAAAACATCTGAAACTGTTTAAAGCTTGAAGTATGACATGTTCTATTTTAAAAAGAAAATTGAATTTCTAAATGCAGTAATGATAATAATAATACATGGCATTTATACTGCATATTTCCATAATTTACACAGCGCAATGAGACTTGCCTTGTGTGTAGCTATCCACAGCACTTTCTAAAGTTTTGGTGCATCTATCTGAAATCTGAAAGGAAGAACAACAAGCTGAACGCGGGATTTTTATTAAACAACAGAATATCATCCTGTAAACTTTATCACAGTCCATAAACTAAAAATGAAATAGAATTAATATTTTAAAATTTGGTCTACTTAAAAAACACTTGCAACAGTGCAATTAGGGAACAGAGAAAAATTATACGGAAAATTCTCCATGAGCCTAAAAACAGCTGACCGCAGACTGATACTTGCAGAAAGAAACTAGATTTTATCACAAAAACACAGTAATGCATTTGCACAAATAAAATGTCACCATAGTTTTCTGATTTAACACTAATCATTATCTCTATTTTTATAAACATACAAGAGAAAATGCTTTTAAAACAACGCTGCTGTACTGTGATTACGGCAACTTCCTGATCTATTGCATTTCATTCAGTTTCTAAAAAAGAGAAGACTCTCTTTTCTAATCATTTTTTCGGATAACGCTTTAACAGAACAGCCCTCAAATTCAACTTACCCCACAGATTTATTAAAAATATACCATTTCTTTTTCAATAAATCACATAATTCTAAATATTTAATCGGTAATTGTTTCTGGTAAAATCAAATGATAAAAAATAATTTATTTAACCCATAAAAATACCTAACATATCCATAACACAGGGATGGAACTGGCACCTAAGGAACCAAAGATGGACAACATCACCTTGGTGATCCTAAAATCGATAAGAGAAAGCTTCGGCCGCCACCCGAGCAAAATTCAAAATTTCCTACCAGCCGTAAAACGTTTCATGTGTCCTGCACACTCATTTTACCGTATGCAGTTGCGAACGCTGTAAAACACGTACCAAAAAAACCCAATCTTACTCTTGCAATTTTTTCCGAATATCAATTTAAGTGAACTTGAAAGTAAATAAATACACAAAGTAATTCGTTAAATACTAGCCTCTCACCCACAATTTGTCTTTCACCTTTGAAGACTCCCCAAAAGGAAGAAAAGCTTGACTTCTACAAACACCAGGAACATCTTCCTCCTTTACAGACCACTCACCTCTTTCAGCTCGATGAGAGTATCAAGAGGACTGGCCGTCTCACCGACCAACACCTGGAACACTGTGGGCAGGGACGGGTCCAGGAAATTGAGGGTCTGGCTGAGAAGGTCAAGGACAACAGTGACGGGGTCGCTGAACACCTGAGAGCACCATTTGACCTGGTTGTGCCAGGTGGACAGTAGCAGATCGTACAGGTCACTCAGGGAAGATCTGGTCTGGTTGCTCTCCCATGTGGTTTTCCACATTTGCAGTAGGTTATTCTGGAGAATAAAGGGGGGAAAAATAAACCCTGCGATATTTTTTATACCACAGAAGTCCATCAAGGCTTGCAAAATGTAATTTGTTGAAGTATACATTAATTAGGGGCAACTGTACATCCAAGGAGAAAAATAAATGTTTCATGAAAGTTATTTGTACGCATAATTAATGATGAAATCAAAAACAATAAAAATATCAACATGAAAACTGCCACATTTCTTCATTAATAACAGACAAGGAGATGAAAATTACAAAGACCACACATTTTCATTTTACTCGTTACTGACACATATATTCCATGATTTTAAAACTAGCCAATCTATTTGGCCCTCAAATTTAAATAACATGACAATACAATCTTCAATAAAAAAAGAAATGAGAAACAAACCAGATCCTAAAAACCAGCATCAGAAAGTCTTGCAGCATTCCTCAGTTCATTTTATTTACCCTATGTTCATCAGTCTATAAAAAAGCACAAAGTTTTCTGCATCAATTCATTTCCCAAAATGTTTAATTCACAAAGGTGAAAAAAACCCAACCCCATAACAAATAGTGAGGATCTGAATGGCACGCACATACCTTATGACACTTGTGGTAGTATTTGTACAACTGTGGCAGACGATCGATGTTCTCAAATATTTTGGTGTACTTTTGAGTTTGCTCTGGAGGTGAAAGAAAAGCAGATTTTAAGTCATGAAAGTTTCATACAGTGGCTTTGAAATAATACACACAAGTTGAAAGGACAAACATTTCACTGACATATAATATAGTATAATATAATATAATATAATATAATATAATATAATATAATATAATATAATATAATATAATATAATCTGCATCATATATGAGTCTAGTAACTTAGTAAAAAAAAAAAAGAAACTGATTAGAGTACATGCAGTTATGTACCATCAGTGGAAATTGCATTATAAATCAATCATGAGCACTCCCTCAATATTGCCCACTTCAAACCCTGGCAGACTTCAGTGGCCACTATAGTTAGTAAATCAGAGTGAGGACCGTGATGTTAATATTGCATTATCAGCTGAAGTAGTTCAATGTAAGCGTTTTACTTTAATTTTTTTTTAACCATACAAACCCAGTGGAGAAATTAAAGCTTCATGACAATATATCCATTGCACATACAAACTGAATATCACTCTTAAACTTTAAAGAACAGTTTATGCTTTACAAATGCTATTATTTTCACAAAAAGGAACAATGAAAATACATGTAAAACAAGTACCTAATGATTGAGAATTGAAAGCAGCAATGAGTTGTGGACTTAGCAAGGCCTCCAGTCGATTTTTCAGCTTTTCCAGATGCTGGCATTTGTCTACATAATCAGGGGTGTCCGCTAGCATGTGCTAAAAGTAAGATAATAAACAATGAAGGCATTGCAGAATTACCCTATGCACACACACAGAAATTATCTCACTCAAATAGAAGCATATTACTTGAAACAAAATCCTAATTTACATACAAACACACTAACTGTAATGTCACACTATATTTTCCTCTGTAGCTATAGCAAAGTTAATTCTTATTAAGAGGTGGTGGAGATTTTCATCCCTTGACTGCGCTGTAGACATATTTTATACACTTCAATAACCTGCCACCCAGTGCTCAGTAAATGCATCCTGTACAATGGCTGAAACCTGCGTTTCATAACTGGTTCTAAGCAAGTCTTGTCAATGAGTGAATTCATCTCTTCATTCCTCTTTGCATTGGTAAAAGTTTTACCGATCTGTGTCTTATAATAAGCGAACAAACATCAATGAAATAGTGTAACTATGATGTCTTGCCCAGGGTGGAATTTTCCTCAGCATGTGGGGTACATATATGGATAGCAGTCAAGGGGTTAATTTTCACTACCTGTTACGTAAATTCTTAAGAGGCACCTTCTTTTAACTATCAGTAATGATTTTAAAAGAATTTTAATTTATACAAAGTGAAAACACAACTAATAAAATGTACGATGGAGACCGACACAAAATTTTTTTTTAAACACATACCAAACTCTGCTGCATGCCTGAAAGTTTTGCTGTGATCTGAAAAACAAAAAATAACATCTCGGGTCATTTCAATCCCTGCAATACACATCATCCTAAGCACAGACAATTGTTAGCTAACCTCTTTGCACCTGACAATCATTTCAGAAGGAAAGAGCTTTCTTATTCAAAAGAACCCCCCCCCCCCCCCCAAACTTATTTCAATATCAAAGAAACCACAAATGAACACATACATAAGGAACTATGCACCCTCAGCTACTGTACCCTCAATATTTTTTTTTTCTATCTTATTCTCTTTCTTACTAATGATTATGCAAATGTTCTCCAATGAGAAAAAAAAAAACTCAAGGAGAACCAAGAAAAATATATCTGGGCTAGGTACACATATAAAGACATATTTCACTCACATCATCAACATTCTGAGACTGGAAAACTTCATCCATATCAGCACTCAGAGTTGTCCAGTTATCAGCTTCCTAAAACCAATGATAAAGAGATTAAAAGTCAATTACTGTCTTAAACAGATAAATCCATAAACACATTCCTTACATCACGATTCCATTTCATTGGCCCAATCAATATAAAGACTATGTACATAGAGGGTAATATTACAATACTGAACCAAAACCCTGACAGCAAATAAGAAAGTCTTTTCAAAATAGAAGGCAATAAAGGGATAATAGACTTCCATACAACTGTAGTCAATACTTGCAAAATATAGAATGTTTAAAACTATTTTTTAAAATCCAAATTGTAAGTCCCGAAAATATTGTACAAAATTAGTAGAGCATCCAATTCATACAGCCAGAAATTGCATTTCCAAATTATCATAACTGTATTTATAGATGCAAAGATCAACACTAAAGTAGATTATTTTGTACCTGTGAAACAACGGAAAAATAATTTATACTGTACCTTCAGAGCATCTGCGGTTGTCTTCATGCGTGATTTGATCCTGTCCAACTTGAGCAGAGACTGCATTGACTGTGATGTGTCTTGCTCAACCTGATAATGCCATTTTTATTCCATAAATAATGGAAAAAAGTCATGCTCATTTCTCTACAGAATGCTAAAAAAGCTGACTTTTTTGTGAGTGTGAATCAGCACTCCTATTTTCTTTGTTGTTACTCTTTTGAAATACCTGTAATCTTCAGCATTTATATGGCCTATGCGTGTTGCAAATGCATTAAAACTCTTAATAAAACTAAAAGAATAAAATTTCATAATAAAGTGGACACTAAAAGCACTAATAAATAAAAAGATGGGTGAAAGTTATTCTCAAATCTAATTTTGCCTATTTACATTTAAATATGAACAAATGAGCCCCTGGTGAAACAATTTGCACAAATTAAAAATCAAGAAAAGGATATCAAGAACTTCTCCACCGACTAGTAAAGACACACAAGTTTCAATAGAATGGGCGTGCATGTTATTCCTAGACGACATCACAAATTTAGTCATGCATTTCCTTAATCAATTTTTAAAAATGACCCCCATGTTCTAGATACAAACCCTTCAACAGACCAGCATAAATACAGATTACACGAAGACACTATTCCTGCACATGAATAAAAACAGATACTAGAATTTGAAGGTACAGTCGAACCTGTGTAAGACGGCCACCCATTGTCAAGGAGAAAAGTGGCCGTATAAGTTGGCAGGACTGATCAAGATGAAGAAAACAAACCATTCCTTTCTGAGGTCCCAACTGAAGGCAGCCGCATTGTTGTTGTGTGTGTGTGTGGAAGCCTATCCGTTCGAAATGTTTGGAGCCCCGAAGAGCGTGCTCTTCGCCACCGCCTCCCTTGGGTCGCGGGTGAGGCAGTCCAACCTCCCTGAATCCCCCCCGAAGAGATGCCACCGTCGGGCCTCCGTGGCGGGGCATCTCTGCAGCCAGTGCTCCAAATCTTGGGGTTCCTCGCTGCACAATGGACAAGTTGGGTCCGATGTTTTGTCTATTCTATTTTTGTAGGCCCGCAGCCCAGAGAAGTGACCGGTCCTGATTTTTGCCAGTAATGACTGGTCACTGCGGGACATAATAAGAGCCTCTTATTTTAAGGAAAATGCCCTGTATACTTCCTTCGTCCGTGTGTGGCATATAAGGGGGTCTTTTGTAATTAATTTTATCTGGGCGCACGCACTTTCATAAGTAATTTGGCGGCCTGGACCCGGCAGCGCTGTTGCCAGTTTGGCATTACTGTCAGCGAGATCGTTGCCGAGGATATCGCAGTGACCAGGGAACCACTGAATCGTGGGTTGAGGTATTGCATTATTTATGCGTAGTCGCATTTGGTCGAGGGATGGTGATGTTCCCACTAGTGCCATGCACAGTGATTGACTGTCGGTGAAGATAGCGACCGAGTTGGATGCATCGCACTCTTTGTCAATCCAGTCAATGGCCAATTACAAGGCTCTCCTCTCTTCCTCGAAAGAGCACGTGAATATGGTGCCTTTCTCCCTCAACATCTTGACAACGGTAGGGTTGGACGGGTCCCCCGTTGTGATGACGACTCCAGCGCCGCCGTCCGTTGTTCCTGCCCTAGCCGAGCCGTCA